GTTGTAAGTGTGAAAAATAGTCGTAAGTCACTTTTTCCAGTGACCTTGTAACTTCGAATGGTCACTAAACAAATGGTTGTGAGTGAAAGCCTACCTGTATATATTACATAACTACCAACAATCAGAGGAAAAGTAAAAATAGAACGAATAATTCTTGATTTTTACCCAAACCACCCAAATCAAATATTGAGGAATTCCCATCCCTCACTCTGTTTAAGTTGACCTCTATGTTCTACTGCTGCAGAATCTGTTGTTTTTAAGAGCCCGATCCCTTTTCATCTTCTGCTTAAATTCAGCAAGACTCTCCAGCCACTTTCAGACTATCCTAATGTAACTTTATTAGCACTTATTTTGCCCTTCCTGGCATCTTTTTTCTTAACTACAGGTAGTCCTTGACTTACAGCAGTTTATTTAGTGACCGTTTGAAGTTACAACAGCACTGGAAAAAGTGACTTACAACCATTTTTCACAAACCATTGCAGCATCCCCATGGTCACGTGATCAAAATTCAGACGCTTGGCAAGTGATGTATTTTTGATGGTTGCAGTGTCCAGAGATCATGTGGTCACCGTGAGCTCCAACAAGCAAAATCAATGGGGAAGCCAGATTCACTTAACAAGCATATTACTAACTAAATAATTCCAGTGATTCACTTAACAACTATGGCAAGAAAGGTCATAAATGGGACAAAATTCACTTAACTATCTCATTTAACAATGGAAATTTTGGTCTTAATTGTGGCTGTAAGTCGAGGACTACCTATATTTTGTTGTTTCCAAACTAACTTCACTGGATCCATGTAATATAAACCTAAATTCTTCCTAATGAGGCATCATATAATTTAATTATTTGATTTCTACCTCACAGAAAACCAGTTATACATGGCATTCCCTCCTTGGATCACTGTTCTAGTAGAGTTGGCTCAGACTGAACTTGAACTTGATGTCAATCCAATTCCTTAATCACTGAATCACACTGTTACTAATATCAATATTAGTGTATAGCACAAGATTAGGTACTTTGCTTTTTTGCCTTTAGTACAACTTCTTTTTGACATTAAGCAAAGATGTTTGTAGTAGAAGACTCCCTTTCAGGAAACTGGCCTTTGCTCACTCCTTGCTGTGACATATTATTCTATCTGAAAGTTCTAGAGATTGATTCCCAAAATTTCATTGATTGCATTATACCTCAGTGCACTTGCTAAAATAGGGGGGAAATGTGATTAATTCATCTATGTTGATAAAGTGGGATGGAGCTAGATGAACACATTTTCCAACCTCTTGTTTTTCATTAAGTGCAGAAAGGGTAAAGAAAGTGATAATTTGGGACCTTAATTTTCTGAGACTTAATAAATAAAAGTTAAGTTAAATTAAAATGTATAGCCCTCCTTTCTATTTACATAAGCCCTGGACACAGCTTACAGTAAAGTTTAAGTACAATTAACTGAAAATTAACTGAAAAAAGTATTGAAGGTGAATCACTGAGCAAGGCAAAGTAGATAACCTTCATAGATCTACTTTTTTAGTCTAACTTTTCATTGGGCTGTGTAATCTATCCTATTGCTTTGCCTGGCTCTCTCTTTTTTGGCAGATATCTCATATTTATTTACATCTCCTAAACCTTTTCCCCGAAGAAAAAGACTTCTTTTATATCCTAAGGCTAAGAAACATGAGTGAAAAGTTAGACTAAAAAAGTAGATCTATGAAGGTTATCTACTTTGCCTTGCTCAGTGATTCCCCTTCAATAC